AAACTAGCTGAATAATGATAATTAGAGAAACAACAGGACAGGCTCTCGCTTGCGGGAATCTAGCCTGGCAATGAATTTGATCGTTGCCACAAATTGCTGGTTTTTGGAAGGGCATGAACAAGATAATATATCATACTGAACAGAATTTGTCTAGTGGTCTTTTTTTACCTGACCTTGCACAAATATCATCCATAAAACGCCTGCGACGACCTCTGGCTTTCAAGCGATTTTGCTGCTGTGCGCGTAAGATACGAGAATTTCCCATCATTGCTCCATGATCCGTTGGGTTCTGTGGCGATTGCTCACGTGCAGCTTAAACTCTTGCATTTTTGCAGCTTACTGTTGCAGAATTTAAGCCAAACATTAAGTGCGGTATAGCTAGCTGCTAGCAAGACACGATTTGGTACAGCTACTTTTTTATTAAGCCTAATCCCCTGTGAAGATAAAATTCGAAGAAAGAATGTAGCTAATGGGATGGGATCTAACAACAGCAAAAGTGGACATATGAGTAGATGCTGTCAATGTCCCGAAACAGTTTTCGCTGGCAAGTGAAGAAGTTGGAAAATTGGAGGTTGAATCGAATTAATGGTACAATAGCAGTGAGACTTATGGCACTTTTACAGTGCATCGCGAAGCAGGCAGAAGTTGCTTTACAGAAAGATAAAAAGGCTAACATTGCGACCCCAAAGTGCTCCGCCATAGAAAAGAAAAGCTTGATTTATGTGGTGCCCCATATTTAAAATTCTGACCACAAGTCCGAGAAGCGTTACTTGTTTTCTGGGGGTTTTTTGGTGAAAAGCAGCCGAAAAGCAAGTTAAAGTCTTTTGGAACAACAGCTGACCAGCCAAATTTTTCTTTTAAAGCAAGAGGGAGTAAAAATATCCACTTTAGCTTATTTTTTCGATCACGAAAAAAAGTTTGAAAGTGACTGAGTTAATTATCTTTCTAGGAACTAAGATAAATAAATAGCAACGCGCACCAGACTAGCTGGTGCGATCATGCGTTTTGTGCACCTCATTCACCGAACGATTGGTTGTTAACGATTTTCACCGCTTTGTACCTTAGTCTGTGCAAAAATAG